ACAAAGTGAATTTTAAAGAATGCATTTATTCTATTGTGGTTTATGCTGTGTCGGCGAAGTAAGTTTAATTCAATCTAATAAGTTTAAATAAAATGCAAGAAAAAATGCGTATAATTTAATATTCCGTACAAGGAAGTCATGTGGTGTACACTTCAGATTTTTTATTGGTAGTGATGTAGCTTGAAATAACTTCCTAAAACCAATCAGGAAAAACGAGTCACACCATAGTGAATGCAAAAGGGATACAATTAAAGCTAATCGTTCGACAGAACAATTCTGTCTTCTCAGTAAGCGTTCGGAGAACGGTAGAGAAAAAAGTCTGATGTGTACACCACATGACTTCCTTGTAGGGAATATTAAATTATACGCATTTTTTCTTGCATTTCATTCAAACGTATTGGATTGAAATAAATCTACTTCGTCGATAGCGCATAAACCACAATAGAATAAATCCACTGTTTAAAATTCATTATATTTGTTTACCATAGCGACACTCTGGCACTGGGTTCACTTAATAGCGTTATATTTCTTTCATATTATAACTCAGAATGCACAAAATTTATATCATTTAAAGATTAGAATTATCTAATCATTGCCAAATTGTCTATTCAAATACTATAATAAATATAGAACGATACAGAAAAAATTTAAGCAAACAAAACAAAAAAGAAACAGTTTTTCACAGGCGATTCAGTATTTCTCATTCAAGTAATTCCATTCTCAATTTGCGACAAGGCAACACATAAAAACAAAAAATATCTATATTAAAAATTACGAAGTAAATTTTAAACACTTACTTCCTCGAAAAACTTCCAGAAAGGATTAAGCATGGTTTAATTCGCAATAATAAATGAAAGCGTTATAATTCAATCATTTTTAAAGCAAAAAATGCACAATTTACAAACATAATATAAGAGTAAAGAAACTGAGATCACTGAGCCGGGTAACAGAGTGGAATATATTTATATACGTTTGGTGTGGCCGATTGCAACCAAAATACGAGGTGCACATCTACATGTTATAGCAGTCCTATATACAAAATTTCAACCTTCTGAAGCTACTCGGTTTTGAGTTATGCGAGATACATACGTACGTACAGACACCACGAAAAATTCTCTTCAGATTTCATTTTAAAGCAGTTTTATAATTTTTTTGGAAGAAAAGAGCTTTTATTCTGTCCTACGTAAGGACAGATGTCAAGCAAAAATATCATTAAATTGCATTCGATAGCGCTCAAAATGGATATTTTCATTGAAATATGCTGCTTGAAACCTTTCTAGATTACAATACTTCCTTTTTACTTCGTACAAGGAAGCAAAAAAGGATAAACTACAAAAAAATAAGTTAAAAATTAGGTCTCGTTGGCAATATCTTTTTATTCCACGGCAAAGTCTGGAGGCAATTCTTCGAGGCATCAGAACGCAAAGGAACATTTTTTCTCGAAACCATTCGCCCATCGCCATAGTGTAGAAATGTTAGTCTGTGTTTTTTAATTTTGCCTTAATTTCATATCTCCTTGCCATTTCCGCAGCATAAGCAAAATCTTGCAAGCAGCTAGCATCAGGAGGAAAAAACATTTACTATATTTTCCACAAGCTGAGGCAATATTCCATATTTCGCGTAATTCACTACCACTAATTCATGAACTGCTTATAAACTCGTGGAAATATCATACCCGGAAATTTTTGCGATTAGAATACTTCCTTTACTTCGTACAAAGAAGTAAAAAGTAAAAGCCGATGAAGAAAGGAGTGAAATAATAATAAAATACATAATTATTAATTAGCAGTTAATGTCCGTAAATTAATTATAAAGTTTTAAATATTAACTACATTACAAATAAACATGTATCCTAAAATGAAAGGACAAAAAGATTTTTAAAAAAATCGCTGCTATAAAAAAATGATGCTTTCTTCCATAAATTAAGATAAATGAAGCAAGGTCATTTTCAAATTAAATTAGTGCATGTGAAACTACAGATTGCAATTAATGTAAAGAAAATAATTTATTAGCTAAAAGATTTACAAGAAAAGACAGATTCTAAAATTCTTTAATCTTCTTAGTATCTATTTAATATTATCTGCTAGAAATACACATAAAAACTAAACGAGAATACTATAGCATCGACATTGTTCATTGAGCTGTTACATTTCCCAAGAGAAATAAAACACCTTCAACATCGAATACCGCAATACCATGCGTATAAGTTTTATACTTCTCCATATATGGTGGTTTTTAGTACCAATTCTCTTAAGCTTTAAGTGCCATTAAACCTGGCTTGCCGCCACATTGGAGCCGATTTTTCAAAGCTTCTTCCTTTTTGCTACCTAATAAAGAATAATGTCGTTCTGAGGGTTGTAAACAACGAATGTGATTTCCTGAGTATTAAACTCAGCACGAAGTCTTGATTGCAGGCCTGCGCTAAAATGTCTTAAAACGTGCGATAATTTTTTTGGAGAAATTCTTATTAATGGCTTAACATAATGTAGAATGATCACTTTTCCACCAAGAACTTTGTAATCCATTAAAGATAAAATCATTGAGTACTTCCCTTTCAGCTTAAGCGCAAACACATGTACGTTATTATTTTTTTCATTCTTAAACCGAAAAACACGCATCATATGCGTGATATCGGAATAAATAGGTTGTTACCAAGAGATCGACAATTGAGAAAAGAAATGAATATTTATGAGTATCGTACGCTCCCTTGATTTCTAAATAATAAAAAAAGGAATTGCTTAGATGTTTAATTATGGTGATTATATATTGTCGCAAATCATTTAAGCGTAAATAAAATTTTCAGATGAAACGCATTTTCTGTGAATGAGGTTTATGTATTATCATTATATTAAATTCTTAAAAAATGTAAAGTTACCTTTTTTGCAGTGAATAAGGAATTTTTCTGTAAGAATTTCTTGAAAAACACGTGACCAGCATTCCTGGGCGGCATATAAAACTATTACAGTAATATTACATATTTTTCTTTTATGCTACTGTTCTAAGATTTTTCTCGTATTAAAAAATATCAGGAGAGAAAAATTAAACGTTTGTTATGAAATTAATAATTAAATTTTCCGAGAGTGCATTATAGTAAATTGTAGATTTCGAAGGTGAATATTTTCGCAGAAGTCTATAACAGTGAGGATTAAAGTATTATAATCGTTACCAAACTGCAAATGAAACCAGGAGTGAAATGAAACGCGTAGACGAAACATTTTAACAGTTTAAAATTTTAAGCATCTAATCAGCTTGTTTATAACTGAATAAACGTTTTTCGTTAAAGAGAAGCCCCATCTCAGGAAAATCAGCTGTTTTACAGAAATTCCACTTTTCACTGATTTCACGGTATTATTCTAAGAGCCTTAATTTTAAGTCGTTATTTCGTATAGATAATGTGGATGCCGTGTAACATTTGTGAAAGGGAGTGTTTCATACATTATTAAGAGAACTTGAGTTTCGAAAAATAGTTTGATATGAAATGTGCGTCATCTGAAAACGAGAGGAACTTCTTCCGTGTCTCAGACAAATGCCCTGACTGTTGAATCGCAGGAGCATTTGAAAGAGACAAATTAAATATACTACTCTCCTCCCACTTCAATGGCAACTAGAGGAAAGTGATCAACTGGCTAGCTTGTTTAGAAGGAAGGGGTATTTGACATCAAAATCACATACGCTAATCGTTTCACAAAAACAATCTTATGAGCAATTCTTTAATTCTTTGGAATTTAAATACATGAAAGTAAACTTTTGAGTGGCCAATTAGCCTTTTTAAAAAAGCGGCAAAGCATCTAAGATGTCCATCAGCTTATTTTTAATAATATTCTTGAAACACCGTCCATAATAACATGCAATTTTAAAATACTTCATTTCTATATTTGTTCTTATTCTAGGGAGAGAACAATTAGCTTGTTTCTTTAATTTACTGTAACATAAAATAACCTATGCTGTAAAAATATTAGGGCAAATTGAAGGAATGTTTATTAAGATTAACAATAAAAACGCGGAAATATTGGATAAAAGAAAATATTGAGAGAAACAACGTTTCAAAATTTAATTAATTTTTATGAGAAAAGTACATTCGCTTTAGATTTTATTACCTAGACGATCTTAAAATTATTTTCTGAAATGAATATTTTATAGTTTTAAAATTTGCCTCTTCTTTCCTAAATCCAAGAAATATATATCTCAAATAAGTATTTAAATTAATTTTTCGCTTTGGAGTGCCACATGTTTTAATGAAATAATATAAAATCTTAGACATACCGCATAAACGTTCTTTTGCCATGTTGAATAACCGAGCTATGCGTAAATTTAGAATGAGTGTTGAAACTGCTTTCATACACATAAAAAAAAACCACCTTCCATTATCTTTGCTGCAAATCAAAACCAGATTATTATCGACTAGGAGGGTTGCAGCACAATTGCATATTACATCGCAATACATGCTAACTCACAGTACATATGTCTGTTATGTTATATGAATTGTAATGATACATTTTTAATAATTCAAAAATGTTTAAATTGCTGTTCTTTGTTCACAACATCACGCAAAAAACACGCGTATGCATCTACATTCATTTTGAGTAAAACTATCGTCAGAAATATATCGGCAGGGCTATTCAGGTTCAATTAAAGATCACTTTAAATAAATATGTAGTTGAAACATAGAAGACGCTATCTTCAAGCACATAAAATTCAAACTTTCATAAGAATATATAATGGAACATTAGTCATATTAAACTTTAGAGTAATTTCTGAAATCTTTTGACTAACTTCATCACTCAAATTTCTTGCTTTTCTAAGCTACCTATCGAATTTATCATATGTTTTTAATTAATTTCCAATTCTTTTTTATTATAAATAATAACGATTTCTTCAAAGATAATGAAATAGTTTAAGTAAATAAAAGCAAGTAGCTATGTTTTCTTAATATTCATTATCCTTTTGGTTTCACGAGTTCAGAAAATGTACTCAGGAATAATTATTTATTGTCAGGTTCATTAGAAGGTATTCCAACGAAGGTGACTTGAACTGCTGCTCATTATCTTCTTGTTTATGAAACTACGTCTTGCCATTTTCATTTTTGTCTGATTTTGTTTTCTGAAAATAAAAATTATATTTCAAATCCAGTTTTGCAAATATTATTTTACTTATCGGAACTCTTGAATGTTTTATAATTTTTTTGCAACAGCTGTATATTTCAAACTTTTTGTCATTATTTAAATATTAAAAATAATTCTAAAATTTCAACATCAGAAGTGACGTTATAATAGTTTAAAAATCTTGGTAGAGGAAACAAAACAAATAGAATGAAACTATACTAAATATTTTCAAGGATTATTTTTTTAATTTTCACATTTTTATTATTTTTATTATTTTATTTAATGTGTACATTTGAAGGAAAGGAGCCTCTCTTCATCTGAATCAATAAATAAGTTAGGTTTTTCTGAAACAACTAGTTCTATATCTTGCTCAAGACTGTAAATATAAAAGAACAGCAAAAAGATAGATCTTTCATGTCAAAATTAAAAGCATGTAGTTAAAAGTTTTGTAGCATAAGAAATGGGACAAAACTATACTAAATTGAAATGCGAAAATAGTGTTTTTTGTGGATGATTATAATAATTAACATACATGCTGCATGAAAAATGTACCTCATTCATTGTAATGCTATAGACGAAATACTGGTATAGACGTCTGGTAGATTTACAATAAATAATGCAATATCTAATTAAATTTGATAGTAGATGACTTTAAATATATTATTTATTTTAAGGATTTTAAGCTTATATAAACTATAAAACACATTTGAAATCATATATATTGATGTGTAGCAGATTTGATCTTTGTTAAAATTTTAAAGTTAAATGCCTTAAATGCTTAAAATAAAGTCCCAGTAATGAAACTGTTTGCACCTCCAAAATATTCAATTTACTAATAATTAACTTATATCAACAACGGATAACTTTTAAAAGTATTCGCAAAAACGAAAATGGTATAACATCATATATTATTTTGCGCAGCAAAATTGTTCCCCTAAAAGTTGTAATTTTAATTAGGTAATATTATATAGCTACTCAATTTCATATTCCTAATGAAAAGTGAATGTAAGGGGAAAAAAGGGGTAAAAATCAGTTTTACTTATGAAACGGAAAATAGGTAAAGCGTTTACTATACTTCAATGAGGTTATGAATATTTAAATTTTATGTAATACTATTAAAGGAAAATGTACAAAAAATATTGTTTCCTTTATATATTGTATAACAAAACCCCCAGAATCTCATGCATAAAAAATATTAAATATCTGAACTTATGGTTAAAATTCCGTAATCGCGGTGAGCGCCAAACTTTTTTTTTTTCCTTTGAGAACATACAGACTCCCCGTGCACCACATATGTACAACACGGGGCTTACAGAAGTAAGTTAACTAGAACATTAAAGGTTACATGTATAAATAAACATTAAAAATTACGTGCATAAATAAAGCGAACAAAAGCAGAGAACAGCAGTCTGGACTTCACGAAAACAGATAAGTTCACTGGCCAGTCACTCCGAACATTTTCAAATCGTTCTGTAAGCATAACCTAGGGCCATCAAATGTAGGGCACGAGAAAATCAAATGTTCCACATCCTGAGGAACTCCTTTTGAACATTCACATAAATTGTTTGATCGTAGATTAAAACGAAACAGATAACTTGCAAATTTACCGTGACCAGATAAAAACTGAGACACTTTAAAATTTAACGAGAGGAAAGACTCGGAATTCAGTCTATGGTAAATAGAAGGAAGGAACTTTTTGGTGACTTCCGCATTACAAGATGAAATGTATTCCTCATTCCACATAGCTAAAAGCTTTTTATAATGAAAGGACTTCCAATAACTCTTTGGAATGCTAATGTTGATATCAATGGGTAAATTTAAGGCATCTTTAGCTAAGAAATCAGTTCTTTCATTTCCGTAGAAACCATGATGAGCACGCACATAAGCAAAGCAGATATCAATACCTCTAATTCTAAGTGAACTAACAGTTACTAGGGTTTCGATAACTAATTTATCGCAGCTGGTAATACTGTTCAAAAGTTGAAGAGAAGAAAGAGAATCAGAACAAATAAGATACTTAAAGGATGCTGTCCCATGATCCTGGATCCACTTGACGGCAAGATAAATGCACAGAAGTTCTGCTTAAAAACTGTACATTCATTCCGTATACGGTGTCTAAGAAAACAAATCTCGGAATTGCCTTCAAAAAGAACAAATGAAAGGCCAACCTTGTTGTTCATCTTGCTGCCATCTGTAAAGAAAACCATATGAAAATTTATTTCAGCAGTCTCTTTATAATCGCAGAAATTTATGGGTTCTAAAGAAGCGGGATGAGGAAGATCAGTGAAGGGGACAATTCCATTAATACAGTCTTCCGAAGCATGAGTTGCCAATGACTCAAAAATATTATTCTTATATGCAATTTCAAAATCAATAGGCGGAACTCCTGCAAGAACAAAAGTAGCCTCATAGCTTAAGGTTCTATAACCACTAATAATACGAAGAAGAATTCTCCGTTGAATCTTTCTTAAATTTCTTTTGTTAACCTTCTTGGCAAGAACATGTCCCCAAGCACGACAGCCGTACGAAATGAAAGGTACAATACACTGCTTATACATGAGTTTCTTAACATCGTAGCTTACTCCAAAAGTATTTTTGGCAATTCGGTGAAAGCCATTAATAATTTTTTCACATTTAGCAGAAAGGAATTCAATGTGCTTTTTCCATGTTAATTTTTGGTCAAGAATGACACCAAGATATTTAACATTTTCTACAAATTCCAACGGAGAATTATCGAGCATCAAAGAAGCAATATTTTGTTCATCAAACGTACTGGGAACAAGCATAACTTTACTTTTTGAAGGATTGAAAGTGAGTTTATGAGAAATCGCCCAACTGGAGACAAAATCTAGAACTTCTTGTGCTCTCAAAAGAATGTTATTCAAAATCCTTCCTTGGAAAATTAATAGTAAGTCGTCTGCAAACGCAATTTTTAAACAACGTCGAGATGACTTGAAAGATCATTTATGATTATGTTCCAAAGAGTAGGTCCGGATACAGAGCCTTGAGGACAGCCTTTTTCTAGAGAATAAACCTTAGCTTCGTTCCCAAGCTGAAGCTCAGCAGTCCTTTCGTTCAAGAAGCTTTTAAGAAGGTTATAGATATTATGTGGTATACCAGCATCTTTTAAAATTTTTAAGATAGATGGCCACCAAGCATTATCAAAAGCTCCTTTGAAATCCAGGAAAATAAGAAGTGTAGTATACTTCATTTTCTTTGCACGCTGCAAGATATTACAAAGGCGAATAATGGCGTCTTCAGCGGACTTCCGAGGAGTAAATCCGAACTGAGAATCATTATAAAAGCATTTTTGTCTCAAATACCAATTTATTCTGTTAATGAAGAGAGTTTCAAGACATTTTCCCAAAGTAGGCAAAAGACTAATGCATCTAATATTATCAAGATAAGGGGTTCTTGTATCTAACGTTTTAGCAATCAAAACAACCCGAGCTCGAGTGTTGGAAAAACTGCTAATTGTAAACAAAGGTTGAAAAGTTTGTGTAGAAATGTGCTATCCACCGCATGAAAGTGCTGTATCATTTCATTAGAAAGAGAGTCAAGCCCAGGTGATTTGTTCTTCTTGAGATTTTTAATAACACTGTTAACTTCTGAAGTAGAGAGAGAACAGACAGTCCATAAAAGAAATATAAGGTCCATCAGACTCAGTGCGCATAGTTCTATGAGAATTTCTATCATCACGCGCATTATCTCTTGGGAAATTCTTTGTCATTATAGCAACAATTGTATCACTCAAACTCGAAGTAACATTGCCATCCGGGAGTTTAATTCCCGAAATCTCAATCCTTTTCGCAAAATTGGTCTTGACCCCATACTTATATATAGATTTCCAGACATTGTGAACAGTAATAGTTGATAGAAAATTTCTCCACGACTCAAGCTTAGCATTAGCTAATTTAGCCTTGTACTTATGCCGCAATTCGAAATATTTAATTTTATAAATATTTTTAAGAAGACAATTTCTTTCTCTCTGGAATCTACGCCTAGCAGCATTTACATGCTTTCTATAACAATCAATTTCCTTAGACCACCAAGGGACCCCATTCTTCTTACTTTTCTTCATCGGAATTGAAAGTAAAGCACAATTAAAAAGCAACGGTAGAAAGTCTGTTTACAACATTTTCTAATGCAATACAATCAGAGCAACTGTTAAGAAGGATATTCAAGTTACACAATTCTCTCTTACAAAGTTCAGTAAATAAAAACCAGTTCGCTCTTTTTAAATTAAAAGTACACAAATTAGAAGATATAATCGGACGGCATAAAACCAGTTCAAAGATAATCATTTTATGGTCAGAAAGAGAATCTTCCTCAGAGATATCCCAACCTTGAACGTATGGCAGCAGTCCTAAGCTACAAAGCGTAAGGTCAATATAACTCGAGCCTTGCGTTGAACAGAAAGTAGATCCGCGATTTTCATCAAGTAGAAACAAATGATTCGCACTAATAAAATCACTAAGTTTCGTTCCCCTAGCATCAGTAATAGGACTATGCCAAATCGCTGATTTGCTATTCGAATCCATACCACATAAAAAATTGCATGGTTTCTTCATCGTTAAAATTTGTGAAATTTTTAATAGTTCTATGTCAATATTAGTTTGGGGCTCGAAATAAGCGGAACAAATAGTCAAGTCAGATCCATTGATTTTTATATCTAAAACAACATTATAATAAACTGTATGATTTAAGTCCAAAAAAGGAGAAAGATTCTGGTTGCGAACAATAACAGCAGACTTGACAACTTCTGCTTCGGAATCATAGTAAACTTTATATTTTATTGGAAAGCCAGGAAGAACACCTTTATAAAAGTTCGGCTCCTGAATCAGTGCGACATCAGTGTCATTTGCCTCCATATATAAAATAAGTTGCTGAGTAGCAAGTTTTGATTTGTGCAAATTTATTTGTACAAAAGAAACAGACAAATTGTCGAACTTACCCATAATTAAATTTTTGAAGCTTTAAGCAAGATTCATCATAAAT